GCTCAAAATGTCTCTGATCCCTTTTTACCTGAAAGACAGGGTGATGTTTTTTATGGTGATTATAATCTGATTATATGGTTTTGCATAATATCTCAAGACCCTTCATCAAGGCAAGGGTTTCAGCATCTGTGACTGAAGGAAAGTTTAACGTTATTCAGTGTTTCCCCTACCATTATATTGGGGGGGGCTTTTTGTGCCTTTATTGTAGAGATAGGATAGTGGATAGAGTCGGAAATCAAGGAAAGAAGTCATTTAAGGATCCCTTTCCGATAGAAAAGGACAGCTGTCATTAAAAGTAACCCATGAACACCAAGATTCCTTCAAGTGTTTGTGTCAGCGTGTAGGCTTGTCCCCACCCCCCCAACGCTGTAAACACTGCTATTTATGATATTGCTTACGGCTGCCAAAACACTCAAAGTGGATAAATAACGAATGCAAACTGAGCATAAGCTGCAATAAAAGTTTAACTCACTTTGATCGTTTTACAACATCAGAATAACGTTCATAGTTCGCCTACGGGTTAAAGATTGTTGAAAGTTGTTCAAGGCATATTATTGCAATGGTAACTTACATGATCTCCCTTTTCTGCCATCGTTAATGTTCATGAACGGTCGGATGCGCGAGTCACTTTAAATGTTGCGGCAGCAAGGAATTGTGGGGCGGCATATCTCATCTCCTTTGGTAAAGGATGGTCCACTGTATCCTATGCTAAAGGAGGTTATAAAGGAAGCATTGACCCACCTTTCCTTAACTTTTAGAGAATTCGAACGGCTCTTATCATGGCCGCCACTTAAATTGCTTCCGGGGTTAAGGTAAAGTGGATAGTGAAAGGAGATAGGAGGGACAATTAGAACGCACCCCAAAAACAACTTGCGGTGCATTGTTGTGTTAGCATGCTCGTGCTAGCGATCTTTATTATGCTCGTATCTTCACACTGCATGTAAATTTACCTGAAATGAGCGTGATCTAGAAACACAGTTAAGCAGTGAGTACAGTATGTTATTCTTCTTTTCTCTAGTCCCTCAATTAAACAACTTTTATACACGAGGGGAGGAGTCAGCCGGCCGTCCCGGCGATGTAAACAAACTGAAGATATGATATGATGTAGACAGTCATGACTCACAGAGTTATTTTCAGAGGATTTACTTGATTTCTATTATATTTACATAAATGAAAGATCGCATATAAAGACTTTAAGGAACAATGGCGCTCAAAGTGGTTTAGATATTCGATGAAATCTCTCTCGTTCTGTTTTCCCACAAAGTTAAGTCTTGAACTTTTTAAATCACATTTGGAGTGACATCTGATCAGAAACTGGACCAACATATTCAGCTGATATCTTTAAGCGTTCAGAGGAAATGTTTCCTGAGGACGTCTTTCAATTTCAACATGAATAAACCGTTTGAATTCAGACGTTATTTAAAGATAAATATGAAGCCGAGCCCCGGCTACGAGCGGTCTTTGTCGTATTTGTAGTCAAACATCAGACTCCCACAGGACGGAAAAGGGCTTCAAGGAATACTCGAGGGCGTTTTAATTTGAATAAGATAAATAATCTGAGAAAACACAGAGCTCATTCAAAGCTACATTTGAAATGAGATCTTGGGAGGTCAGGAGTGCTCACGTTAATGTGGATCACTATGGAAACATCAATCCTTCTAAGAAGGTGGGTCGGACTAACATGTAGGATGTCACATATAAACAAACTGGACTTTAGGGTTAAGGATTACCTAGTGTGAGTGCGCCCTTAGTTTTACATTTAGTAGCCACAGTAACGGGGGTCTACATAGGACCTGACCCCTGCTGGCACGTGTTGTGCACTACAACCCCTCACCTCAATACATTATATTAGCGTCAGTTTCACAGAAAAATTAGCATTTTTATTTCCGACGGTATTAAAAGTCATACCGTCTGGATTTCTAAATAACCCTGGTACACCGTGATACCGCCCAAGTCTAGTACAGATGCTGCAGTGTCACCTGTAAAATCCCGTCCGGAAACCGTAACTTCTTAAAATCTGCTCTGTGAATGCACACGTGGAGCCCTGAGAGAGAGAGAGAGAGAATAAAAAACACCAACACTCATAAATTTGTCACCACACCTTAGTGAATGAAAACATGTTTGCATGACCTTCAGTCAACGGTTACATGGTCAAAGAAAACGCTCAGAATCAGTTGGGCTAGCTCACCTTGCCCTTTGTTCCCGTCACGTGAATAATATTGAGATGGTCCAGCTCCTCCACCTTTGATGCACAAACACAAACACAAGATAAGGACTAAATCTACTCGGTTGGAGATCAATAACATTCTTTGTAATCCTCATATGCTTCACTCTCTCTTTATGTGGCGCACAGTGGGAGCTGACTCACTTTGAGACCGGCTCGTTCCAGAAACCCTCTCATGGCGTGGAGCTGCTGCTGAGGGTGGCTCCGCTCTCGCCGAACCTGCTCCAGAGCGCTGGCGTTGGTCTGCAGCGTGTTCAGCGTGCAAACGGCGTCCTGCAAAAAGATATAAAAGTTTCAGAGAAACTCAACTCAAACTTTTATTTATTCTGGAAAGGGGGGTCTCCTGAGGTAAGGTAAAAAAAGACATGAAGTAGTGGACAGAAAAAATCTAGAGGTCTAGCAGCTCCTCTGGCAAATATCAGGAGTTTTTCAGGAGTTTTCTTGGACTGGGAAAGCCCTAAAGGTTTGAAAGGAAACTTTTAAAGTAAAGTATGCAAACATAAAAAAAACAAATTGGTTCATAAAAAAATGAAGCCAGAAGTTTCCTGCTCAGTTTTCACTGTGCCATGGGTGATGAGTGGGATGCTCTGTTGATAAGCTCAACCTCCTGAAAACAGCGACTGGTTAAGAGTTGGGCTAAGATTCAAGATTAAAAAAAACTTTGCATATCACTTAATGACAGGAAATGACCTTTGGACAACATGAAAACATTCACAGGCATTAGACTCAGCCATGACGAAAAACATATGTGCAAAGTAGGTTATAAAGTGGAGTTTAGTCTTGTTTCAAATGCACATTGCAGTGGGAATAAAAGAGTTTCTGCAAGTTTCCTTTTTAGCAGAGGGTACTCTGAACCGGCAGTCTGAAGGGGGGGGGGCGTGAAGGTCCCCAGTGAGTCAACAAAACCAATTGGGGGACATCACCATGGCAACCGCCAATACATTAATAGTCTGGGAAGGTCCACTTTCAGAGCAATCTATGTAAATACTCATAGAACTTATATCCAGCATGAACTATTTTTAAGTAGTTTCGAACGATTTTCAAATAAAAGACTGACTCTGAATATGAAAAAGTTTACTCATTATATAATACTGTCCCGAGTCAAACACAGTTTAGACCACGTGTGGGTTACACATGGCTGTACTTTGACGTGGACAGAGAGTACAGCTGTACACACTGATAACTTTTCCCTGCACTCACTCAAGCTAACAGCAGCTGGTTTACAGAAATACTTCTCCAGCTTCTTGGACATCATGAGCTAAAGTTAAATCAGTCTCCAGTGGTCCTGTCAGCCATGTTTCATGTCTGCACCGTGAGATCTCTCACAGTTACTACAAACTTGTCAAAACAGCGCTGGTGGCTAAGTTAGCTCGGCTAGCAGAAGGAGCGCTGACAGGTCTTCTTACCTGGTACTCCATGCCGGGTATCTGAGGTGCTGTTTTGGTGCTGTAGTACCTGACAGAGAGGCCCGCTAACCTGAACGCCCAGTCTCTGTTCCGGAGCCGCGCGGCAAACCGGGAGCCCCGCTGCCATACGCGAGACATGCACACCATGATGAGGCGTCGTCGAGCTGTCACCGGAAGCGACTGCCAAATAAGGGGTTAAAGGCGCGATGACGTCATAACACGCCCCCCTCTTCTTAAATTCACGGAACAGAAAAATCACTAAAAACACTTAATTTTTTGTCGGTATTGTGGCTCAATACTTTTTTTGTCTTGATGTTTTATTTATTTTTTTCAATTTAATTTATTTATGTTTTTTTTTGTATGTAGATCTGCATATCTATCTATCTATCTACTTAACTTACTAACTTATGTAAGGGCATTTTGGAAAACTAATGTTTGTAACATAAGTAGTTAAGAGCAGGAACATCTTTAATTTTACTTAATGATTCTCAACTGACTTTTCCATGACCTACCACCTGGTGGATGTTGCCCTCTTACTAGAGGTGTGATTCCCCTGTATTGCTATTGGGGTACTGGTTTATTGTTTTACGACTGTTCACTGATGTGTTGATAAAAGGCAGAATGAGCCAGACTATTTCCAGAGAACTACTGTGAAGTCTTCTCTCCATGCTGCATGCAAAACGTTTTCTAAATCACACCCCACCATGTTCGTATTTGTTTAAGAGAACTATCAATTCTCACACTTTTAATTGAGTTGTCTGCTATATCGCCTTAATATTGACTATTGCAGGAAACATAAACTATTATAAACATTATAAAAGAAGAAGCTGTGATATTATTTAACAAAGCCAACTACAGTGTCAGTGTCATTATTAGACATTTGTTGTTACTTCTCCAGTCCGCAAGGTGTCGCTCACTCTATAATGCAATACTGTTTTCACGCTTGTGCTGCCTTCCGCAGTCACCCTTATAATCAGTTTTTTTCAAGAATCATTTACGTTTACATATAAATATGTATTTTTAACCAAAGCAAAGTATTTAAAATGTTATCTGAACCCTCAAATCAAAGGTCAAAGTAATGAAAGAGATATGATTTTTCGTGACAGCTAATGCGTGCGAGATCAAAACCTGAACAACAAATATTGTTAACATCTGATTGATAGTAAGAATATACCTGATGTTTTATTTATTTTATGTGTTATTACATTTATTCTATGTTATTGTGTACGGTGTCTGGTTCAAACGTAAACGCAATGTCGATCTTGCTTGTATTTGTATTTTAAATTGGTATTGCTAGTGATGTAGTTGAGTTTAACCCATAGGTTTAACCTATGGGTTAAACGATATACGACGAAGAAGCTAAAAATCCGAGTCGCACTTAATGCAGCACGCACAGCACAGCTGCAGAACCGGAAGTTGAATCAGGGAGTAAAAAAGATGCAGCGAGAAAAAACAACAAGCAACTCAGCCGCGGCTGAAAAGTAAGAAAACAGCTTTTTATTTAAATAACTTTTAAACTCTAGTGATTTGGACAATTTTAATGGCTTGATACGTGTTCCATAATATTCGTGTTTAGCTTAAATATCCTAATATTGAGTGAAATGTGTCCACAGGCCCGACCGGGAGGCCGCCATCATGTCCAAGTACTACGATGGAGTTGAATTTCCTTTCTGTGACGAGTTTTCAAAATACGAAAAAATGGCAAAAATTGGACAAGGAACTTTTGGGTGAGTGGATGTGAAGGATATTTGTGTAGCTGTGCTGATAAGTAACTTCACTCTAAAGGTATACAATAAATTACATACATTGTAGATGAATGACGATCTACCATAAAACAAGCAGTTAAACATGTTTTAAGAACAGATATCTACATGCTCAGGGTTTTTAATGTACATTACTCTGTCATTTTTAAAATAATAATGCTTATATAATAAAGAGAACAACGTGGAAATAAGCAGAAGCAGAAATGTGCTGGAAATGATTTGACTACATAACACATGTTTGTTTACTTCCTGAAAGCTAAGTGACACTTTTTCTCCTTTCTTTTCTGTTAATTTATTTAGTTATGAACAGTGCTTCAGGTGTCAAATGCAAATTGGATGTAATGCATACATGTTTCAAGCCATGGCTAATTTGCTATCATTGTGCCTGACTAAGCTTTTAGGGTTAAAACAGAAGCACTGGACTTTAAGAAATACAGAAACGGTGATGCTAAAAAAAAAAAGAAACATGATGCTAAATTAGAACAAACAGTACAGTAAGGATTATCACGTACCTGGGGACGGGAGCAGTCCCACTCTGACATCTCTCTGTTAGCACATGTCCACAGGTCCCGTGTGAGCATGTGTGTGTTCCTGGTCTTTGTGTGTGAGAAGCATGTCTCTCATTAAAAGAGTGTAAACCCAGAATTTCCTCTCAGGCATTAATAATAATAAAAAAGAAGAAACGATCAGTGCTCACAGACATGCTTCAGTTTCACCTTCTGTTTTACTCGCCTTACAAACCTCGAGCTCTGTCATGTTTTATTTTTATTTTAGCTGGTTAATGTCTTCCTCAGGTGTGTTCCTCTCACTGAGAAAGGCGACTGAAGTCGTTCTGCGTTGTGGTGCTCTACAGTTTCCCCTCGATGTCGCCCTCGTTCTGATTTCACTGTTCGCTTTGTTTACTTCTTTGTGAGTCTCACGCGTTTATTATCTCTTCTCAGGGAGGTGTTCAAAGCAAAGCACAGACAGACCGGGAAGAAGGTGGCCCTGAAGAAAGTTCTGATGGAAAATGAGAAAGAAGGGGTGAGATTTATTTATATTTATTTATTTATACCAGTCATTGACCAAACAAAACGATCGTTACAAACATGAAATCTCAACTCTTGATTGAAAAGGAGCAAAAAGGAAGAATGATCAGTCAGAAACTACATTGCAATTATCTCGCACCATATGCTTTCAGAATGAGATTTCGGGGCACTGTTTATGTGTAAAAAGGTATTTATATATGACGAATAAGCTGCCATGTTGTTTAAAGTTTGAATGTTGGGAAAATAACCTTTCCGGTCAATCACGGGAGAATCCAGAATATCCAATCAGATGGCGGATCCCGCAACTTGTATCGCACTCATTTGAATATTGTTCCCTGAAGTTTGACTTTTATCCGACCCCTTTCTCGTGCCTGAGCTTGATCCCTAATGCTTTTCCCTACTCGCTTGTCGCGTCCACTGTGGCAGATATTACAATGATGTAACATATTGTCCTTATGATAACCTTTATTCTGCACAGATGATGGATAATAATTATGACGGGGAAGTGTCATTAATTGAAAAATACTCCAAACAACATGTGTTCATTATTAGTTTTTAATCTGTTCAAACGTGTTTCTCTCTTCCTGCTCTGTTCAGTTCCCGATCACAGCGTTGAGAGAAATCAAGATCCTGCAGCTGCTCAAACATGAGAACGTCGTCAATCTGATCGAGATCTGCAGAACCAAAGGTTGGTGTCACAAGCGCCCCGTTTTAAAATCTATCCTTCAAATGATATCTGTTGTCATTGAGTTTGTTTTAGTCTTTCCATGTATTAAACATATGTGTGTGTGTGTGTGTGTACAGTAATGCTTTAGTTTAATTTATTCTTCTTGGTTGTTGTCGCAGCCACTCAGTATAACAGATACAAAGGCAGCATCTACCTTGTGTTTGACTTCTGCGAGCACGACCTGGCCGGGCTGCTGAGCAACACCAACGTCAAGTTCACTCTGGCTGAGATCAAGAAGGTCATGCAGATGCTGCTGAATGGGCTTTACTACATCCACAACAACAAGGTGAGGCATCCAGATCTGAACAGTTTTACTCTTTATCGCCCGATTGACACCGATGCTGCACACCTAGTCGATAACATTCGCCATCCTCAATGAGTGATTCCTAATGTTGGCTGCTCTTGGATCAGATCCTACACAGAGACATGAAAGCCGCCAACGTGCTCATCACCAGAGACGGCGTCCTGAAGCTGGCTGACTTCGGCTTGGCTCGAGCCTTCAGTCTGGCTAAAAACAGTCAGGGGAACCGATACACCAACCGAGTGGTCACCCTGTGGTACAGACCTCCAGAGCTGCTGCTGGGTAAGAGCCGCTTCCTGTCTGCCGTTTGTTGATTCTGACATTACATACGGCTTAAAGTCCCTGCTAGGAGGATTGATTATTTCCTCACTCACGCTCTTGTAAACTGTGCTCAGCTGCTTATAGAACCAGAGTAAGATGTGAGTAACTTCACCAACTGACAAAATGCAAGAAAAGTGAAAAAGGTTTAAAGAGGCTTCAGCAACACTTGTAGCATGAAGCTCATTTATTAGCTTCATTTGACCGTCGCGTTTGGCTTGTTCATCATGGTCATCCTATGCCTAAATAACCACGAATGGAGCCTCATTTGTCATCGCTATCTATCCGTCTCAAGGTCTGAAACAGAAAGAATATTGATTGAATGACAATCTAGCAAGAACATGCCTTTATTGTGCAATGTGTGAAGTTGGCTGTTTTTTTTCGTCTAGTTATGAAGATGTGTACATATTCAAAATGAACTTAATGCTCAAAATGTCATTTGATCAGAGCTGGTGTTTTACAGTGAGAATCATTTGCATAGAAAGGGGCCAGATGTTGGTGCCTCAGGAGTTGGATGCAAACTCATGCAATCTTTTTTTTATTAATTCTCATGAAAGTGTTTCATCGAAAACAGACTTTAGGAGAAATGTGATTCATGCATCAAATTCTTCAATATAGTTTTATAAACTACGGATGGTTCGAGGCGACTAATTCCCTCGTTGGTTAATCAGAAATTTAAGTTCAGACCAGCTGACTAGTCAAAAGGTAAGACACGACGGGCATTTCAAATTGTCTGCAGATAAACATGGAGTTTGTTTTGCAGTGTGTGGCTAATGTTAGCATTGCTAGCTCCACCAACCTTTGCAGGATAACATCCTGTTATCCAAAAATATGAATAATTTGTTTAACCAAATAGTAATTCTGGTGCCGACTAACAAGGGAGGCATTTAAGCGTTTAGTCGCCTAAACAAACACATCCCATTTTTCCTGTTCTGTCTTTCCTTTTGCACATTACAGCCACCTGTATCACGGTGACATACTGTAAACCCACTAGCAGTCTTTGCTGCAGACTGTTCTGTCTCTCCTCATCCCCCTTTCAGTTTTTTTCACACTAAAGCTTCCTTATAATGACAAAATGCAAAAAAAAATAGTTTGTAAGTTTACTTGTCAGGGTGCTTTTTTAAAATTTCATTAGAGGCATGGAGGATGTTCGCATTGCTCATTTACTTTTTTTGTAGGTGAGAGAGACTACGGCCCCCCTATTGACATGTGGGGAGGAGGCTGCATCATGGCGGAGATGTGGACCAGAAGTCCCATCATGCAGGGAAACACTGAGCAGCACCAACTGACCCTCATCAGCCAGCTGTGTGGCTCCATCACTTCAGAGGTAACGTGATGTTAGACTGGAGATTTGAAACTCTGCATCGCTCTCCTCTTTGTCTCGACGTAATCCTGATCCGTCTCGTCTTCCTCTCAGGTGTGGCCCACCGTGGATAAGAAGTACGAGCTCTACCAGAAGATGGAGCTCCCTAAAGGCCAGAAGAGGAAAGTGAAGGACCGTCTGAAAGCGTACGTCAAAGACCCGTACGCTCTGGACCTGATCGATAAACTCCTGGTCCTGGACCCAGCGCAGCGCATCGACAGCGACGACGCACTCAACCACGACTTCTTCTGGTCTGACCCGATGCCCTCAGACCTGAAGAACATGCTCTCCACCCACAACACCTCCATGTTTGAATACCTGGCCCCGCCCAGACGGAGAGGACACATGCCACAGCAGCCTCCCAACCAGAACAGAAACCCGGCAACGACAAGTCAGACCGAGTTCGACCGAGTGTTTTAAGAGGTGGGAAGGTGTTTGTGGACGTGTCGTTTGGACTTAACTTCCTTCAGAGGATAACTTCATAATATAACACTTCACACCCCCAGATCTCCGCAGTTTTGTCTATAATCATCAAGTGAGTTTACAGGAGAGGATTAGAGTCGACCAGGACCAGGACTAGAGTGTTCCAAGGTGTTCACAGTCTTTTCAAAGGCAGGTGATTATGTTCAGAGCGTTTGCTGTTTCTGATGTGATCATGAAGTGGCTGGTTGTGTGTTTGAGCTCGGTCGCGGTTAGCAGCTAGAGTGAGTCATTTTATGTTTTTCTACAATTTGTTTTTATAGTTTTCATTTAACAGACTGTGCAGTTACCTCTGGTGATTTATTTATAATGAGAGAAGAAGAAACTTACATTTGAACCATTTTACAAAGAAGACACGTGTATCTGTGAATGTATAAATGACAAGTGACC